TGCCGGCCAGGGTCAAACCACGACAATATCCTATTGTTTTTTTCTTTCTTCATCAGGTAACCTGAACTTCACATTATATCACAAATCTACGATAGCCAAATAATTAGAGACGGATGTGCTCTCACTGTTATTTCCAAACTCCATTTTATTAGTTCCCCAAATATTTTTAGAGTTCTCTCCATAGGTATTTTTTGTCCTTCTCACAGCATTATTAGTTGAAAATCCATCAGAAGGCCAAAATCCAAAATAGACCACCCCAACAGCAAAATACTTGCAACAAGTGTTCTGCTATTCCACTCCCAACCCAGGTACACACAGCTAGTTTTCTATCTCCTCTCAGGAACAGTTTTAGGACTGTGGCATGTATCTGTGGCTTAAGTTTGGTTAAGTTTGAGGTTTGAGTGAGATTAGCTGTACCTAGTTACTGCTGTCCAACACAACACAGAAAAGCAAACACTAGGACACCGATTTTATAAAATCACAACACTACAAAGTAGCCCAGCATCTATGTCTGAATGGCAGCAAGATGCAAATTCCAATCCATTAACAAAATAGTAAACAGTACAAAACTTCAGCAAGTCTTAAAAGACCTAGACTTACTATCTAAAGGAAGAAGGACAGAGAGTAGAAAGGCCAGATAAAGTCAGTAATCAGGAAAACGGCCTAACATTTTCTCTGAACTGCCAGGAAGTTCATGTAAGGGCCCTTCTGCCCAAGCAACGAGACACAGAATGATCCTCCTCAGACACGTGATGGTTGTGCTTTCCCCAGCTTTCTAACACCACCCCACCCTTCTGAGACTGTGTGGTGAGAAGCACCTAATGCCAACTTTTAAAACCAGGTACATTACGCAAAAATACCACATACACACAGTAGTAGTACTCTTAGGTGTTCACTGGAATAGCAATTGTCATACAACTGGTGATACAGATTACCATAACAACTGATATAACTGTCTTGCTTCATTTCAAATTTGCAGGTGAATTCTCCAAGGTTAAAAAAAGTTCTGTCAAGACTTACACTGTCAATAGCACAGTGATTTACAAAACGCAAGTATTCTTTTTATTGCAGGAAATGTTGTTGGTAGAACAGCATTAGTAATCAAAATTATCCAATTACATGAACTATCATTTCTTAAGCTATTTGGTGACAGAAGGCATGAGTTCTCAGTACCTTTTCATCCATGTCAAAACTCTCTGAAAGTTCATCTAGTTCTCTCAGCCGCCCATCTTCAAGGAAGCCCTCAGTAATACCTCCCGAAGGACTGCTTCCTCTGGAGGAGTTGTGGGTTTCAGTATCATTAGCTGAAAATGTATAAACATTACTTTGTTTCCCAAGCAAACAATGTGTTCCTCAGACAACAAAATGTTTATTTCCTCAGTATTACAAAGCCTTATCACTAATGACATTTAAGAACTCCTAGGATTTAAATGTGAAATTTATATCTAAATTATTTCACCTTTAAAGCACAAACCATTTCAAATAAATATTACAATAAATTTGCAACTAAAATTCTATCCAAGCTGTATGTTTTATAGTAGTCCCTGTAGAACAGTACAACATGTTTATTTATATAATATTGAATTAAATATTTTAGAAATAAATTCAGTTAAGCTTTGTTATTAAAACACAAAGACACGAAAGGTAATTTGCTAAACAAATGAACACTTAGTTTTTGCTAGAGAAGGGGATAAGTTAATCATAATGACACAGTGCAACCGTGAACTAAATACAAATAGCTCTGAGAAACTCCAAATTCCTGTAATACAGAAAACTCCAACTTCCTGTAATATAGAAAACTCAATGAGAATTCAGGGTCAGGAAATTTCCGCACCTTTCAGAGATGCCACAAGAAGTGAACAGAATACCTGACTGCAGCTTTCTGAAGCAGCTGTTTATGTAAAGTGGAAGAGCTCTGCACAGAAAAGAAATCCACTATTTCACTGGATCACATGAATGCATTTCAACTGCACTGTGTTGTTCAGGAAAAATGAATGAGATTATTATTGGAAAGGCTTTTATTCCAAGGTCACTTGTCTTTCTACAATCATCAGTAAAAGATACATCTTCTTGAAGACAATGTACATAAGATTTCCATCTGAAAGATGCAGAGGACTGATGTTATCCAGAATACCTTAACTCTAGTATTTGTTGCCCCTTTTATAGACTGCAGAGACAAGCACCCATGACCTCACTACGTAACAAAAGACACCAAAGCAGTAACAAGTATTTCTAAATAAATACACAAGTGGTCAGTAATTACCAAAACCAGGGACCTTTTTTTTTGTTCTGCACAAGTCTTTTTAAAAAGTCATACATCACATGTAAGGTACCATGTGCATATTAATCTAAGCATGTGATGTGATTCAGTTTCTCAGATCTGCAAGAAAGGACCTACTTAAACCTTTTTCTTTAAGCACCACAAAAAGACCCAAAGACTTTTTGCCTCAAACTTCATTATAACATGAAGTGAAACAATGAACGAACAGCCTAGAAAAAATGCAGAAGTTACTAGTATAGGAGTTGCTCCCAGGTTTGGTTTCAATCACCTCAGTACTGCCAGTACCATGGCACTGGCACCTCTGGCTTTTTACATCACCAGAGGCCTGCGTGCTTCCTCCTCCTCAGGGAAACTCATGTCTATTTTTTGGTGTCTGAGCTCTTAAACCCTCATTACATTTTTCTATTGCCTTCTGAAACCAAAGCCTGAAACTTTACCTTCCTCATATAGTCACTATTCACTCCTTTCACTTCAGGAGGCTACATCTGCCCAAGCTACTCATTCCTTTTACACGAGCTTAACACACTAACATGAAAAAAACAGCTCACGAGGAACTGTCACAGACGCTTTTGAAGTCTGCAGCAAAATCAATACATAACGGCAGAGTGCCAGATTAACAGCAAGCTGACAACACTGACACCAGAAAGGGAAACACCGAGAACCTTCAAAACCAGTTTTGGTGCTCTCTGCCTTCTCCAGTGTGTCAGCAACAGGCTTCTGCTCAAAGTCAAAATCCTGTTAACCCAACCTAGGAGGAACCTCCAAAGCAGACACACCTTGCATAGTAGGTCTCTAAGCAAGCTGTAGAAAACAAAAAACCCCACATTCAGATGCTACCTAGTTGGGACTGTTCTGCTCAAAACAGGAAGAAAGAACCAGCAAGTCAGAAGTATCCTTCTCAAAAAAAAAAAAAATTTCTTTAAAAACCAAAACAATTTCTCAGAGGAACAGGCACAGCATCCACAAACACCAGAAGTACAACTCGAAAAAAACTCCACCCTATTATAAAAATTGTCTGCTGATGAACACAAGAGAACATTCAACTGAGATTACAAGTCAGACTCCAAAGCAGTATCACAATACTCAGTGTCTTACTATCATCTCATCAACTAACAGAATTCCCACCCTAAAAATATCAGAAAGATGTCAAAAAAGCCACACAACCAAAAACCCACAAACCCCTGCAGTACTACCATAAGACAACTACTACAGAGAAGAAGAACTTCCCTGTAAGGCTCAGGTTTGTACCATTTCAAAAAACATCCCTTTTATATGCATTAGGAAACAGATTGCTGTTACAATTAAAAGAAACTACTGAACTGACAAGTTTTCATTTTATGTGGAAAGCAGGCAGCCTAGGTTTTGCCACTGAACATATCTATGGTTACTTTCTTCTCTTGATTATGCATTTAAAAACCTTCAAAGTCTCTTACCTTTTAGCACCCAATCACAGGAACTTTCAGTATCATTCAACATTCCAGATCCTTGTATAGTAGAGCGTCTGTTTTGAACACAAATTGTATTTAGTATCTTGTACAAAAGGAGAATGAATCCAACCAGCTATGTAAAATTGAACTTCTCAGCAGTACTCGCTATGGACAGTATTCTCGTGTACAACATGTTGCTGTAAGATTGTGTAATACTCTCTGTTCTGACTTTCTCATGTCCATCCCTATAGATATACACCTAAACACGTTAAGTAAAATGAAGACATTTCAAATCCCCAAATTGTCATTAAAAGCTCTTAATCTCATTTCATCTTTCCTAAAATATTGAGAAGAATTTGCATAACAATGACTTTCAGAGTAACAAAAACATTTGGTTCATAGATATATCACCTCTTTTAAAGATAATTTGAGAGATAAAAAAAGTATTTCTCCTTAGAAAAGCCTAGAAGGTAAAAACATGTATTCAAATACTATATATAGAATATATAAAATAACCGCATCATCACAGATTTTGAAAGCTCACACCTGGTGAATGACAGCAAGTATAACGACGGTACACTGCCTAGTAAAATGGAACAATGAAATTTTGCAGCAACCTACTGGAAAAAAGTTCCTCCGTTTGCCTAACTTGGAACTATACAGACATTCAGGCATATAGATACAGGAGATAGAGCAAGCAGTTTAATAGATTACAGCAAGTTTGCAGAGACGAGAGATTTTATTAGAGGCATGCTCTCTGCAGGCTTATTTCCTCTCTCCCCTGCATTTTATCTGAAATGCGAAGTTTGAGTTACTTTTGCCTACAACAATTGACTTTCTTTGTTGTAAAACTGCAATGCAGACAGCTCCAGAAAGCTGTCATCTTCATAAAAAATTGCTTAAAACTCAAAATATCTAACAGCATGAAGAGATCTTCATGTTCAGGTCAAAAGTCACTTCCAAATCTTTACTAGATTCTTCTAATTTTGTAGTGTGAAATAGTTACTGAAGAACTTTGTAAGTTCTTGTAAAGAAAGTGCCTAAAACACATACAGAAAACTACATTTATTACAGCACTTGGCATTTGCTCACCAGCCTGACAAATCTAGGAGTGCTGACAGAACCAGAAGTCCACACATTTTCAAGATCTAGAAAGGGAGACAGACTAGACCACGTCAGAATGTGAGATGCTCTCGCATGCTGCTGTAAAGTTTAAACAAATCTCTTTTTACGGCACAAATTACAGGAACCACAGTGTTCAGCTTGCTATTTTGCATAGGAAAAATGTATTCAAGTTTAGCCTTTTTATCCAAAAGGAAAACAGTAACATGCAGAAGTCTCCTAAGAGCAAGAATGGCTGCTGATGCGCTTTCAGAGGCAACCATTAAACTTACCAGTTCTGGTGGGATGAAAAGATGTATCGGACGCCTCTTAAGTGTCTAGATTCCCTACATGAGAGAACCACCTCCGATGACTGATGCAAACATCTGCACTATTGGCAGTCACTTAGGGGTAGGCAATACAAAATGCCAACAGAAGTGTCTGTGAAAAACAATTTTCACTGCCCCTTTCAGGCTGCATGTGCAGAATGACTCGCAAGCAACACCTAGAGG